ACCCTAGACACCCACCCCCGACTATACTGAGGATTTCGGAGGATATGGCGGGTCTACCTTCTGGCAAGAGTTCTCCGTACAAAACACCATAAATATCCGTGGACCGCGCTGTGATACGGCGAGTGTGACCCGCAATTGAATATGGTCATGGCCCCTTGTCAGAAGAGGCGAATGAACCGAAAACTGGCCACCGGCTCATCTGGAACATCACTGCTGCATTGCAGTCTGTGCTTGGTTGCGCAAAGGCTAGGGTGCACCCTCGGACAAGGCTTCTCTGGGCCGGGTGATGGAGTAGTACAATAGCCCACAACGCACAAATATAAACGCTCTAACTCCCATGAATCTGCACTCTAAACCTTCAATCGGAAGCTCGGAATCTTCAGATGACAGTACTAACAGTAGTGCCTCGGTCGGAAATTCTGCGGCTGTCCTCTCTTGGCCTGCTTCGATTAGCGTCCAAGTCTCACCGAATCCTCCACCAGCTGAAGCCCTTCTGCGTCCTCCATGCCGTTTCAAACTATCCGCGTTTATTGTGCGTTTTCTGATGCGTATAGGACAACAGTTGTGTTTAGCTCGTACGCTCGAGACCCTAGCCATCGATGTGTTGCATCCAAGAGACTCGCACTCAAGACTCCAGCTCAATTATCTGATTGACGTCACCATATAACCAATCTGCGAAGTTTCACTTTAGCCACTCTGGGGACCCCGAGACTGCGGATTACAGTCTTGTTGGTGTCGGCGTGGCTCTCAGTGAGAGAGCTGAAACAGTCCTCCTGGATTGAATCCCAGTCGACAGTAGACTGTGTGCAGTGAGTCTTGGAGGTTCGTGCAGAGTATGCAGCCTTCGCCAATATAGACACTCCAACGAACTGTAGCCCAGATGCTAAGATGAACTTTACAATCATCTACACGACCTATTGCGTAAAGCGACTCCGGCTGATGTCATGATTTTAGTAGGAGATATGAATGCTGGAGTAGGCCGGTTGAACTCGAGTGAGGCGTATCTGGGAGGTCTTTTCGGACTAGATTCCTGCCACTTGGAAAACGAGGAGCGGCTGTTGGCTCCAAGTTCCAACCACCGCCTCTTTCTCGCCAGCACGAACTTCAGACGCTCCAACTGCCGGTACGCCACTAAGCGTCCGCCTTCATCGAGTCAGCGACGGACGCAGATCGACCACATCGCGATAAGCCACAAATGGCGGGGTTGCAATCAACACTGCCGATAGTACTGGAGCAATACCCCCGAATCCGACCACGCTATAGTATGCGCCAAGCTGTCCATGTGCTTCGGTGGGCGTTCCAAAAGCATGATGCGATGACAGACTGTGATAAGCTGTACAATACAGCTTTATATATATATATATATATATATATATATATAACCATTAAGACGAGACTGCATCTGGACCTGGTGTGATGGCTTGTGGGCCTCTGGGACCCAACGAGCCACGCAGGATGGCTTTGTTGAAGTTACAAAAAGCTCACTTTCCTGGTCCTCTAGGTTGGGGGATCGACCTCAGTTGGCATCTCAGTCGTCGAACGTATTGGAGTATGTGTCCCAAGTTACTGGGCCTCCAATCCACTTGAAGTGCCTCCTTGCGGTCACCGGCGCCACGAGAAGGCAGCGAGTAGGGCTTCCTCGGCAGAGGCTGTTTTATACGTTTGGTTGTAATGGAGCATGTCGCTAGATTCAAAGGAGGGGTAACCAGCCGTAACCCAAGACACCCATCACCGACCCAATTGAGGTTTCCAATCCGTAACACCCCATTAGCCAACTTCTTCNTATGTAAATGAGGTGCAGATCTTGGAGCCTCGTCAACGTCTCAATCTGAGGGCCTTCAACGAGAGGACTCTGATGCAGGAGGGTCAAGAAGCATGTCTTGGGCGTACAATGAAGTCTTTAGAAGCTGATGTCTATGGTGTATCAGAGATACGAATTCAGAATCCTACCACCACCTGGGTGCGCCGGGTCTGTCCTTGTGCTTTTTCCATCGTAAGTCAGGAGATGATGAAGCCCGCTCACTGGATCAGCGTGAGGTGGGGATCAAATTGAACAAAAAAGCGGAAGCTTCATTGATAGATAAGAGACCCGTAAACAGTTGTGTATGCGCAATAAGGCGCCAGGATTCAGTTGATGTTCGAAAGGACAGCAACACCAAACAATGTTTGTTCATCATTTCCGCACACAAACCAATCAACCGCAGGACCAGCTCACAAAAGGAATGTTACGGCGGACGGGTCGAGCTCATTCGGTTGAGCTGCGGCTCTGATATTATAATGCTGGCCGGTGGTTTCAACGCGCAGTCTGTTTAGGAGGGCAGAGAACAGACAACGGTGATCGACTACTTCAGTTCTGCGCAGATCACCGCGTGATCTTATCTAGCACCAATTTTGACACAACTGTCGTCGAACGGCTATATGGTGTTCTAGTTCGACGGAAAAGTTAACGCAAATGGACCACATAGCCGTAAGCTATTGTTGGTGATTTAGTACATAATTGTACATCCCACTGGACT